GTCAGCAAGCCAAAAGAAAATGTGAATTGTGAATATATCTGTCTTCTGTCAGTATTGTTTATCATTTTCCACTGATTTTTTAAAAAAATTGTTGAACATGTGTTTTGTATCCAGCGCTGAATGTTCTGTTCCAATGAATATAAAGCATACTTCACTTTGTAAATGTGCATTAAAATTATTAGACATAATCTTTGACTCTGTTGCTAAACGTCATCTGTCAAAGAAAGTATTTTTGGAGGGGCATATTTGGTATCATATCATGGCATGGTTCTGAGAAAAACTATTTTCAAAGTACTAAAATAGAAATCTGCTGAAGCACTTGAGTGTCATTTACTTCCACTGTTAAATTTGGGCTATCTGTAGACTTACTTCTTTCATTACATATTGGTGTGTGTTGGTTAAGTTCATATTTACTTCAGATTCAGAGGAGATTCAACTCCCATCAACTAATAGTGCATGTTTCCTTACCTTGAGATTGCAGCATGTTTTAATGCTCCATCCCTTACTAATTTAACTGTACTTACTTATGTTCTTTATACCATATGTAGACTCTTCATACTGTTTCTTCAGTGTTAATTTCTTAGAAAGATTTGTTCTATTTAAATTCACGTTCATTTTTAAAGTTCCCTGTTAAAAAAGTTTTTCTTTGTTTTATTAAAAATGACTAAGGCTTTATAGCCAGGCATTTAAGGGTTTTCTATACTTTGACTGTATTTCCTCTTTCAACTTTATTTTCTACCATATGCCTTTCTTTTTGTCTAGTTCAATTAAATATTTTTCATTGATGATTAGAAGTAAATAATGTGCACATTTCAATCTCAGTATCTCTTAAGATTTTTCCCTTGCTGGGAAGATCCACAATCTCTGCTACTTTTCTCTTAATTTAAACACCATTTTTCTATTTTAAAATCTGTTTGGGGTGTGTTACTGTTTGTGTATGTGTGTTCATTTATGTCAGTGCAGGCACATACGTAGCACTGCATGTATGTGAAGACCAGAGACAACCTCTGCTGTCAGTCCTCACTTTCTACCTTGTTTGAGACAGGACTTCTTTGCTGTTTGCCACTTACTATTCCAGGCTGGCCCATGAGCTTCCAGGGGATCGCCTGTCTCCTCTTCCATCTCTCAAGCACTGGGGTTACAGATGTGCTCTATTGTATCAGGCTTTACATGGGCTCTGGAGATCCAGACTCAGGTCCTCCTGCTTGCACAGTATGAGGCATCTCCCCAGCCCTAAATACCATTTTTTTTCTTCCAGTCATTCATTTAACAGATTTCTACTCAATGCCAGTATGTTGTCCACCATATATGGGCTTGAGTGTGTAGTGGGGAACGGAATACCTGAAGTCCTCCATCTCCCAGAGCCTTCAATTTAGAGAGAAATGGAATCAGATAATTACAGACTGACTGATGAGCTCTACACCAGGAAAGTGCTTTATGTTCACTTCCCAGCAGCCCCACCCCTGTGACCACCCCAACTTTTAGGCATCTTTTTCTCCTTTGAATTTTCAGTGTTTCTACAACCAATTTTGTCTTAAGAAATGAATCTTCTCTCAGGCGTGGTGGCACACACCTTTAATTCCAGCACTTGGGAGGCAGAGGCAGTTGGATATCAAGGTCAGCCCCGTCTAGAGTGAGTTCCAGGCCAGCTGGGGCTACAGAGACACCCTGTCTCAAAAAAAAAAAACACCAAAAAAAGGAAATGGATCTTTTCTTCCACTTTTCACAGATCTCTCACTTAGATCTATGAATAAAAACAAAACAAAACAAAAAAAACCTTAACATAGTTCTCTGTAAAGACTAAGAACTAAATAATTATTTTTGGAATCATACATCACCCTTCTTCTCTACCTACAACATAAATAATCAATTTAAAGGTACTTGTTAACCAGGTGAGATGGATCATGTCTATAATCTGAACACCTGATAGGTGAAGCCAGGAGGATGGCCGTGAGTTGAAAGCTAATCTGGGCAACAGTGTGATACCTTCTCTCAAAAAATAAAACAAAACCCATAACACTAACTTACTATATATTTTTTTTAATTTTATTATTTTTATTTTTTTATGTGTACCTGTGTATTGTCTGCATGTAGGTAAGTGCACCCGTGTTGTGCAGTGCCCATGGAGGACTGAAGAGGCTGTCAGATCCCCTGGAACCGGAGTTACGGACAATTGTTAGCTTCCATGTGGGTGCTGGGATTCGAACCCGGGTCTTCTGGAAACAGTCAGTGTTCTTAACCACTGAACCATCTTTCCAGCCCTACTATATTTTTTTTGAGGCAGGGTCCACCTGTTGACCCAGGTGGCCTGGATCTTGCTCTGTAGAACAGTGTTCTTTATCTTACAGAGATCTGCCTGCCTCTGCCTCCCGAGGGCTGGGATTAAAGGTGTGCATCACCAAGTCCAACTCTACTGTATTCTTTTAATAAAATGTGACATTTGCATTCTATTTATGTTTCTGCCTATACTGAATTCTTCCTACCATTTTGTTTCCTAGAAATATATTATCAGTTGGTATACTGACAGTTAATTATTGAGCTAACCATAAAATCATAACCACTAACTCAAACATACAAAAACAATCCCAATTTGAATCAGTGTGGTGGAAAATTCATCCATTGCCATTAGATTGGTAGGGTAAGGACCTCTATTTGCTTTTTAAAATATTTTTTTATTATTTTATGTGTATGAGTGTATTGCCTGCATGTATGTGAGTCACCCATGTCATGCAATGCTGCGGAGATCAGAAGAAGGCTTCGGATTCCCCTGGAACTGGAGTTAAGGACAGTTCATAGCCGCCATGTGGGTGGAGAACCTCCATTTGTTAAGGCTAGAATGAGAATCCAGGTTTAGACAATGCCTAAAAATTGGCACTTCAGTCCATCTGGCTTATTAGCCGTATTCTCCTTGTGTAAGATACTTTGGGGGGGGCAGGCATCTTTGCCAATTATGCCACATTTGAATTAGAAATATTTACTGATGCCTAAAGCCTTTTGGTCCGATGACCCTTTCCCCAAGCATACCATGCATTGGGCCACCAGGCATAGTAAGCAGTTGTCCTCTACAAAGAGACATTTGGCTGGGTGGGTGGTAAGAGGTAAAATACAGTCTGTTCTCACTCTAGCAACCAAGCACACAGTCCTCAGTGCTGCATTACCTCAGAGTTTCCTTTTTCTGCCTGTGCTGAAGTACTGTGCTCACCCTCACCATATACCCTCCTTCTTGCCTCACCTTGCCATCTTCTCCTCTTTCCTCTAGGCTGAACAAAGCTAACTGTAGATTTTAAGAAAAATACTTCACTAATCTTGAGGAAAGTTATATAACTACCTCTTCTTTAACTTAGGTTTCAGTCAGTCAGGTGTGTGTGTGCGCGCGCAGGGGCATGAGTGCTAAGATGCACATATCAGAGGACAACTTTGGGGGGTTGATTCTCCCCTTCCACCATGTGTTCCTGGGGAAACAAACTCAAGTTGTCTGGCTCGTACAGCAAGAGTTCTTACTTGCTTGGCCATCTTACTGCCTTTTTTTTTTGTTTTGTTTTAAGACAGAGAGTCTTTCTATATAGCACAGACTGACCTCTAACTCACTATGTAGTCCAGACTAGCCTCAAACTCAAGGCGATTCCTTTGGTTTCCAGAGTGGGGTTACAGGCATGTGCTACCATGCCCTGCCTTTCTTTTATTCATCTGTAAGTTAAAGATAACAGCTCACCATATAAAATTCTTATGAGGATTAAATATGGTAATATTTATTAGAAATTTATTTTAACTCCTCACTCAGTCCATAAATGAGTACAAATGTTAGCTTATACAAATTGATTATGGATTTTTGCTGCATGCAATAACACACACGAGTTGTTCTTTCTTTGGCCAATTATAATCAAATGCATTGCTTTTCGAGATGATAATCTTAAATTTTTATGTTTGTGAGAAATCTATTTTTTTAAGGTTAAACTTTTAACAGGGCTCTTTTTCTTAAAAAAAAAGTTTCATTTAAATGTCTTTCAAGTCTAATGATCAGGTGGTTGTCAGGACAAACTCAATCCTAGCCTGCTTAGTTAATTATTGTAATTGTAAACAAAAGATGTGCAGTTCAAAGTCAAGCAGCATTTCACAAGGATGATGGAAGTGATAATAGCTTGATTCTTGCTGGATCTTTTTTCTCTGCTCTGGCAAGTTCATACTGACCTTGTCCAAAATCTGATGACCTCCCTATTTTACTCAGCTGTTTGGAAAGCCAGGCCTGTGATAGCTGGCCCTGAGGGGGTATCTGAAAGACCACTGAGCCACTGACCCATGTCAAGACTTGATTTTAAGTCTGGTCTTCAGGGCCTCTGAAATAGTAATATATGGAGCTTACTGGCCACAGAAACCTACCCAGCTGCATTTTTCTGTTTTTAAAGCATTGCTATTACAGTCAGTGAATATTTAATTCACTAAGTTTTTTTCATCCTAAATGTTCTAGATTAATGGCAATTTTTTGTTCTTTTATTAGAGTTAGTGTCCTACAACTAAACTTAAATGTTTTGAAATGTGAAAGTATACTGTTCATCTATGCCTAAAATATTTTCCTGGTTGATGAAGAGACCAAAGTAATAGCATTTTAACTCTTATTGTATATAATTTTTTTTCTGCAACAAATTCTGTGTATCTCATTTAAAAATCTAGCTTGGGCTGTTATTGTTACAGCATGGCAATCTTGCTTATGTCTTGTCAGACCTCAATTATTACTTTCTTGTTAGAATTTAAGAGTTTTTGAGGTTTTGAGCTATGTCCTGAAGGAAAGCCCATAAGGTATGTTTATTCAGTAAGCTGTTACATAAATTTTCTTGGACAGCTCTGTCTACCTTAACAGAAAGTTGGTGTTAGAACAAAGAGAAAAAAAAATTTCCTATATTTGTTTTGTTCTTCTGCGTAATAGGAGATGATCAGGCCATGTTACAAATATCTAGCCATATCTTATATTGAATAGAATTACATTGTCTTTTATTTTTATATAGGAACTGATTCCTGAATTTTATTATCTCCCGGAGATGTTTGTCAACTTCAATAATTATAACCTTGGAGTGATGGATGATGGGACAGTGGTGTCTGATGTTGAACTTCCTCCTTGGGCCAAAACCTCAGAAGAATTTGTTCGCATAAACAGATTGGTAAGATAGTAATCATCTGCTCTGTCATGAGCCTGTTCTCAAGGCATCTTTCATGTGTTGGTGAAAACATTAACCCTTGCTCTTCTGTACAAAGCTACAGCTGATAGGAATCACTGAGAATGACAGAAGACTCCACGACTTCCATACAGACCTCATAAAAACTGTATTGAATTAAAAGTATAATGGTTTGTTTCGTGCAGAATTTGAGTTATTTTCATATATGATTGATAATTTGAAATTTGTTACAAACCAAAGTTTTTAAGGAAACTAGAATTTTTTGCCTTTTCAGATACTAACTTCTCTTGACAAGGAAAGAACATCACTTTGCATTCCCAGCTAGAAGGCATAACACATTTTAGCAACAAACGACATCTTCAAGTTACATCCTGTACAAACATTTTTAAAGAAACCTCAACACCATATTTAGAGTATGAAAACCTAAAATCTTAAAAGCATAGTATTTACTGTGCTTACAAACAGCATCTTAGTATCCACTTCAGTAGATTCTGTAATTTCCTCTTTTACATGGATTCTGTATTATTTTGTGAGAAAGTACAGTAACTTTAGTTTGCTTTTAAAGTTTTTATAAAAGTTTGGAATGAAGGAATATTCTCAGTATCTGAAAATATTATCTTACTATTTTCCACATTAAAAATAGAATTTCAAGCTGGGCGTGGTGGCACATGCCTTTAGTCCCAGCACTGGGGAGGCAGAGGCAGGTGGATCTCTGTGTGTTCAAGGCCAGCTTGGTCTACATAGTGAGTGGGGCTACAGGGAAACCCTGTCTCAAAAAAGATTAAAAAAAAATTGAATTTCAGTTGCCTAGTGTTTTTATTTTATGATTAAACAAAGAAAACTATATTTTGTTTTTCAAGGTGGCATTTCTTACCTTCAGTACCAATAATTATATTCTTACTGAAATGTCACATTTTTATATATACTCAGTGCAGTGCAGGGGAGTAGCTAGAACATAGACTTTGGAGTTAAGCCACCCTTCCCAGTCATCAGTCAATCGTGTTGTCCGCTGTGGGACCTTAGACAGGCTAATACTCTGAACCCTTGTTTTCTCATTTTTAATTTTAAAATATTGAGGATGAAATTCTGATTTGTATGTGAAATACCTAGCTGGAGTAACAGTAACTAATACTGTTCCATGTTCGTGATGCATGTAGCATTTTCTTGAATCCCAGGTAATTTTAAGATTCTCTCTGAGGGGCTGGAGAGATGGCTCAGTAGTTAAGAGCACTGACTACTCTTCCAGAAGATCCAGGTTCCATTCCCAGTGCCTATATGGTAGCTAACAACTGTCTATAACTCCAGTTACAGGATCCAACACCTTTTTCTGACCTCCATGGGCACTGCAAGACCGGGGTGCACTTGCATTCATGCACGCAAAACACTCATACACATAAAATAAAAATAAATAAATCCAAAAATATAAAAAGATTCTCTCTGAGACTGAAGTGAGAACCTAAGATAAAGCTTAACTGTGGAAGATACTGAAGAAGACACCAACCTTTAAATATAGCCATGTATGTTTGTGTGGTTCTTCTCAGTGGCACACAAAAGTTAACAAAGGTACATCTATGCTGTGACTTCTTTTTTAGTGTTTTTCCTTGTAGAATAGATTTATTGAACTATAATTTGCGTCCCATAAAACAGCATTTTTTACAAGTATATCATTCAATGAATTTCAGTTAATTTAGGCAGTGTGTAACCATCACTACAAACCAGCTTTAGAACACTCACATCATTTCAGAAAGTTTCCTTGGGCCTCTCTGCAGTCAGCCTGTAACCCTACTCCTGGCCCCAGGAAGCCATTCATTCCATCTCTATAGTTTTGCTCTTCTGGAAATTTTTAGTTAATGGCATCATTCAGCATGTTGTGGTCTGGTGCCTGGCTTCTATCACTTAGAAGAATGTTTTTGAGATTCATCTGTATTTCTGCATATCACAGTGGTTAATTTCCTTGTACTGCTGTATAAAATCAGTGGCTGTTGTATGGATATACAGTGTTTTGGTTATCTTTTTACCAGTTACTAGATTTTTGATGAGGTTTTTTTCTTTCCTAGTCCAGGGTTATTACAAATTTTTGTCTACATATCTTCGTCTAAACATCTGTTTTCATTTCTCTTGAGATTACTAGGAATGGAATTGTTGGCTTATTAGGACTATGTTACCTGTATGTCCCAGTTTGTGTTCCCACTAATGTTTGAAGTTCTAGCTTTTGATGTCCTTCACAAGGCTTAGTATTGTCAATATTATATACTTGGGCTCTTAGGAGGTACCTCAATGTAATTTACACTGCCCTAATGACTAACAATGGTCAGTTTTTTACAGACTTGTTTTTCATGTCTTTTTCATGTTCTTTGGTGAACCATTCAAATCTGACATCCATTTTTAAACTGGACTGTTTATGTTTTTTATTACTGAAATATAAAAGCTCTTTTTATATTCTCCTTAATAATCCTTTATCTAAAACATATTTTGTAAATAATTTTCCATTACTCTCTGGCTTGTCTTTTTATTTTTTTTAATAGTTCCTTTAAAACTTTAAAAAAAAAATTTTGTGACAGCATTGTTTTTTTTG